CCCGGCTTATCATCATCTTTAAGAGTCACATGTGACTCAGCTTGAGCATTGGAAGAGGAAGCACCACTTTTATTTTCTTTCTTTTTAAAGGAATTTTGATAGAGCCTTAAAAAATGCTCATGTGTGCGTATTAATTCTTCCAATGGTCTTTCATGCCAAAACGACGACAATTACTTTTTGAGAGGTCATTTTGAGAACTCATGTTGTTCTCCCTTTTATTATGACCATCACCTCGACGATTAGTGTATCGTCTCTTATCTTTGTCACGTCCTCGTGCATTATTATAGCCCTGATGATCATCTATTTTTGCTTCAGATTGATCACGTGCTCCCACCACATTTGCCTCCGATAATGGAGATGCTCTAGTGGAACGAGCTTCATGATTTTTCATTAACAGAGCATTATGTTGCTCAACCACCAAAAGACATGAGATTAGTTCATAATATTTCTAAAAACCCTTTCCGCGATATTGCTGCTACAATATCACATTAGAGGCATGGAATGTGTCTTTTCCAACATGTCCTCATCTTTTATAATCTCCCCACATGATTTCAACTTGGAGGTTATCCTGAATACAACAGAGTTGTATTCAATTACGGTCATAAAATCTTGAAACAATAAATGCATCCAATCATAACGAGCTCTTGGCAACACTGTTTCCTTTAGGTGGTCATATCTCCCCTTTAAATCAGCAAACAATTCAAGTGGATATTTTACCGTCATATATTCAAGCATCACACCCTCATCAAGATGATGACGAAGGAAAATCATAGCCTTTGTCTTATGTTCACTCGATGCTTCATTTCCCTGAGTAATAGTGGCATCAAGACCTTTAGCAGCCAAGTGAATCTCAGCATCGAGTACCCATGAAAGATAATTCTTTCCAGAAATATCTAATGCCACAAACTCAAGATTGGATAAATTCGACATAATGAAAATTACGAGAGAATATGTGGATTAAATACAAATATTTATATAATACCTTTGCAAGTAGCAATTGTGTGCTGATAACCTGTTGTAAAGAAAGCTCTGAATATATGAAGAAAAAGACAAGAAGTATAAGATAAAGAAGATAATTTACTTATTCAAGTATATCTTTCAAATGGTGAGTGATTTTCTATTTATAGTGTTGAGATATCACTCCAAAGGTCATCTAATTAATAGATACATAGTTATCTTGGAAGCTCTTATCACCTTGGAAGCACCTATACATGAACCCATTTAATAGTGAATAAAGCTAATGGATAATCCACATATACTATACAATGGATTAACATTAATAATAATTTTTATTTATTTAAAATGTTTTGTCACTACCACAGAATTACATAAATGGGTCTTGTTGTAATTTTTGACATTTGTCTATTTTATTTAAATAATTATTGATTATTTAAAACTATTTAAAATTTAAAATTGTAAAAAATTGTCGTAGTGTCATGTGTCCTATTTCTTCTCCTTTTATATATTGATATATGGTCTAAGGTTTCTTGTTGTAACGACCGGAGAGCACCCCCTAGAAGTTAAACGAGATACTTGACTTCTCAGAGGTCTTGTACAAGCCTCTTAGCTTTCATTCATCACATAAATATGAAAAGTAGTCCAGAATTTAAACTTTTCCTAACATAATTAAAAAGAAACTCTTTCATAAAACGTAAGGAATGAAATTGCATCATCACAAGCTATCTAGACACGTCTTAATATCACAGGGTCACGACCCTTACATATAAAAAAATAATAGTCTATTACAAGTCTTTAATAGAAAGAATGGAAAAGGATCAAAAGTACCCTTGAACTATTTAAAATAGCTCAAATATACCCTTTAAGTATACTTCACTCAAAAATACCCTTCCCCTCAAACAATAGGGTAAAAAATATTCTTCCTTTTGAACTTATGTATTTTGTGAAATTGTTCTAAGGAAATTGAGAAATGAGGAAAAGGGATTCTATGTTTTTTCAGTGAAATCGTTTCTAAATTCTACAGAAAACTGAGAAAATTGAAAGAAATTAGGAACAAGTTTACTAGTCTCTGTGGAATGAGTTGAACTCTATTGGCTCATGTGGCATGCCATGTGATGTCCACATGGCATCTAAGTGATGTTTAACCGATTTTGTTAATGAGAAGGATATTTTTTACCCAATAGTTTGATGGTAAGGTATATTTGATCCAAAATATACTTCAAGGGTATATTTGAGCTATTTCTGATTGTTCAAGGGTATTTTGACCTTTTTCCGTAGAAAGAAAACTAAACATAACATCCACGTCCTTGAAACATATGATGACGTACCAAAAGATTTGAGAGAACTCTACGTCCCAAGCTTCAACTTCTTAGAAATCTTCACCTCCTACCACCTATGCTTTTAGATATAGAGAAGAATATGGAGATAGTACAAACAATATACTAAGGATGACAATATGCAAAAATATGCTTTAAAACAAACATTTTTGTTTAAACATACTTTTCATGTTATATTTATCAAACTTCATAAATAAAGTGTACAAGACATCACATAAGTCATCATTAACATACAAAGTAACACTTTCATAATTCTCAACATATAGCCACATTCATCAAGTAATCAATTAATCATTTAAATCCTATAGCTCAAGTTATCCTAAGACTCACTTAGGTCGAACATGGAGAAACTGCTCATACAACCTCATCAATACACATAATTGATCCTTAAGACTTCCAAAGATAAAGATACTTCATTCCAACTCAACAAGTCAACATTCATGCAACTAAGAACTTCACAAAAAGACCATCCTCTAAGACAATTCCCAACTTACACTAGTCCAATGTGAAAGTAGTATCCGATTCTACTACTTTCACTTAGTTCTCCTTAGGGATCAACTTAGACTAGGAACATCACATTTAAAAATTTACCTAGCTTTCATTGACATTAGCAAAAAGATCAACATACTTCATTAACATTAGACATAAAATCAAATTACTGCATTAACATCATGTAGTAACCCATCCATTCATTTACATTCAAGGACACACCAAGACCCCTCCAAATATCTGCTTGTGAAATACATAGATGAAGTCTCATTCCACCACCTACCCTAAGTAGTATACTCTTAGGAAGACCTAGTTCATTACGTATAATTGTGAGGTATAACTTCAATCGACATAGATTATAAGAGCTTGACATGAAATTGCAGTATTAATCCCTACTGGATGAGGGATCCCTACTTGTCTAAGGTAGGATCATTCTTTAGCCTTTAGGATATTGATTCTAAGTACTACATGTAAACTCACGAAGAGTACTCATCTCAAGAGGTAAATTGTATACAATATCTCTACTTACGAAGAGTATCCACCCCTTCTTGAAATTCTCTCGGTGCTATGCATAAACTCACATAGAGTTTTAGACATTCAATTCATTACTTAGCTATAAGTAAAGAGATTCTACAAAGTGCTACATCTCAACTCACTAAGAGTACTCATCTCAACCTAACATTCATTCCTTGGTAAGCTCTTGGGAATTTTGATGTTTCTTGTAGACACTACATCTCAACTCCCAAAAAGTGTCCGTATGAAAACTCCCCTTTTTCATTTAATAGATTTCTTGGGTATAATAAGGTAGATACTAGACACTACATCTCTACTCACGAGAGTGTCCACCCCAAATACCTCAATCATCCATTTAAGTTCTATTGAGAAAACCATTTCGCTAGACTCTCATTCATTACATTTTCATTAGCTTCCTTGATTCATTCGTTCGTTGTGTCTGTGTGAGTATCTGTGATGAAGTCTTTCACATAATCACCATCATTAATAACATTGACTCCTAATCATGATCATACTACATTCATACTAATTCATACAATCATTCTTCACATTGAGATCTTCCTTCAATTAACCATACTATCTTCAAGATACACATTCATAGCTTCATAAGACATCTCTATACATATACTTCATAACATCACTTTACTTAACATACAATGCCTTTAAGTCTATAATCACAATTCGCATATACATTCATATACATCAAGAGAACACCTCCACCATAACTGGACCATACCACACAAGATCAATTCAAGAAGGCATCCAAGCCTTGATCACCTTTACAATTGACCAACAATTAATCATAATTAGGTATAACTGGCAGTAAATAATCACAATACATCATAGCATATTCATAATTCTAACATTATCTAATTACATTCATCAAATACACTTCAGAAGTAAAAATCAGAGAATCAGGATGATCATAAGTTCATGGAAGTTTTGATCATAAATTCATCAATTAACACTGAAAACATTATAAATCCTTCATTAAAACTATTTCATGCAAGAACCCATGCTTAGAATTTAAAATTGAAGAGTTCAGGATTTTGAAACCTTTTTGAAAAGCCTTTCGATTGGCTCCTTGAATGAGTGAAGAATCAAGGATAAACTACCATACCTTATTTGATATGAAACACACTAAATTTGGTGAAAAAACGACTCAAAATCTTCAATAGAGTCTTGAGACTGTTTTTCTTGGGAGAGGGGTTTTGATTTTTTAAAAGTGAAGTCTATTATAGGTCTTAGGGGGAACTAACTTAAAATACTTAAAAACCCCAAAAATAACATTAAAAAATAATATTAGTACCCAAAATACCCCTACACTCATTGAACCTTTTGATTTGACTTCAAAATGATGCGACCAAAAATATGAGACATGGCTGCGCGTTGAAGGGACACCTCCAAATCTTGGTTATGGAATTAATATTGATATGGAATAGTTAATGAAAAGCCTCCGTAGCGATGACACATTTTTGCCTTTTAAGTGGCAGTTGCGCGACTTGCAGGCAGTGCCACAATCAAGCTGTTTTGGCAGCCTTCTTTCCATGCCTTGGATCCTCCTCAAGGACCCTTTGACTGGTCCTTGTGGAGTCGTTGACTTTCTAACTATTCAAACTTACTTCTAAAGATATTATTCATCATTTTAACACCTTATTAACTCATAAAACTAACGATAGGCTCTAACTTGTCCTATTTCATTTTGAGGGTTGTTACACTTAAAAAGTGAAGCATCGATGTTGTTTTGTTCTTGTGAAAGGACGTTTTACATACTACTCAAACATGATTGTGAAAGATTTTGCTCATAAAAAAGATTCATAAGGTTGAAAGATTTTCTCACCTAAGCTGACTCAAGAGTAAGAACCTATTCGAAATGAGTTCTAACTTGGAGTAACAACTTAATTGTGTATTTTTGTGGAGAGTAAAGATAAATATATTTAGTGATAGTTTCATGGGATTTATCATTAGCACCGAGAGTATAGACGGCGATTACCCATGTTCCATAAATATGTCCCATTGTAGGTTTATCTTTTATAGATATTAGCTATTTGATCCAATTTAAGTTATTTTTTTTGTTCTTACCTTCACAAGTAAAGAAAGACATTTCTTTTTGGTGTGGAATAGTCACTAATTCCATGTTATAACTCACATGGTCTATATCACATAATTGTAAACTTCCCAAAATAATGAACTAAAGTTACTTGCTAAAGTATGTCAGAAGTGTTTTTATAAGACTTTTAACTTGCATTGACCATGACTATACTTATGTTTTCTAACATTTCATTTTATGATTTCCCTTTGTCATTGAAATTCATATAAAGTCTTTTTGCATGATCTCGTAATTCTTGTGCTTTCATATAAAGTCTTTTTGCATGATCTCGTATTTCTTTTTTTTTATCATACTTAGTACATTTCATGTACTAATTCATACTTGTGATTATATTCTTTCACTAATACTGTTCGACACTCCTATATCCCATATTCGTGGCTACCTAATTTGTTTGAGCCTTTGAATTTTGGTCACTCCTCATGATTCAAGAGCCAATATTCTGTTATTGCATTTATGTTATTTCCTTTTTCAGATTTTGTATATGATATATGTGTTACGTCCTAATCACTTTTCTCATAATGTAA